TTTTTTTTTTTTTTTTTTTTTTTGGAATTGCTATTGTAAGCAAAGGGTGTCCTTGGTTTGTTTGGGATCTTATTGTTGAACTTCTTTTAGCTTTTGTGGTGTAAGTGGCAGAATAAATCTATGTAGACCGTGAACTGTAGGAATCATTTATGTTTGGAAATTGATGGGTTGGATGGATTTAGTACCATATCTCTTTTTTGCCTGAGAAGTACAAGTAGCGCTGATGTTGCACATATAGAATGTTTACAAGTCTGTGCCTTGGCTAATAGTTACTGTTTGTTAGCTCAACAATTGAGGGTTAAAAGAATTGTAAGAGTTTACTCCCTGTGAAGCGAACTGCTTCGTGCATTACTATTTTCTTCAGTCTGGCTCACTGGAGTCTGAACTCCGATCTATCAACAGTAAGTGCTGACCATTGTCTTGGCGTAAAACAATCCATTTTCTTCTCTGGGTTTTGAAATGGTTTTGCCTTTTAAAGCCATTTGAGCAATGTGCCTACGATACTCGTACAAAGTTGTGACTGCCAATTCTGCTTTCGCTTGCCTGTGTTTGAATATCTATGCGAATTTCACTCATGCTGCTTGTACTTGTCTTTTTGTTGAGGTAGATCACTTGTGTAGACCATGCACTGGCGTTTCTAATTCATTTTTGCACAATCTCTCATTAAATTTGGATAGGGCACTACTGTTCGTGTAGAATTTGGTGACGCAACCACAGCTGCGGATCCCACAGGTTCCCACACCATAAGTAGGTCTTTTCCTCACACGTATGGTCAACCTATAGCTCACTTTCTGAGGGCAACTGCCAAGGTTCCTGATGCTCAGATAATTACGGAGCATCCTGCAGTTAGGTATATATACAACTGACTAGTCAGTTCTATCATTTGAATGGATTTAGAGTGTTATATTTGGAATACCAACATTTCAGAGGGTAATCTTGTGCATTACAGTTTTATGCTGAACTAGGTTTTTGCTCGCCTTTCTTTATTACTTCCCAGGGTAGGAGTGGTTTTCTGCGGTAGACAATCTCCTGGAGGACACAATGTTGTTTGGGGTCTTCTGGAAGCTCTTAAAATCCACAATCCTAAAAGTGTTTTGCATGGATTTCTAGGTAGAGTCTAATAATTTTTTTATGATTGATGAGATTCTGTCCTTTTAAATCTCACATGTACGTGCTTGTATTTATTTTACTGATTTTCAATGGAAGGTTTTGATGTTTTCCGTAGCCCGTAGTACTTATGTATGCTCAATCAGTATATTTTGATTGTTGTGTTGTTTATTGCCCTTGAGTCCTTTACATGCATTTCCTCCTTTAGAGTTTCGACAGATCATTGCAGTATCTTTAATTAGAGATTAATGTTTTCTTTTACAATTATGTTCTACCAGGTGGTTCAGAAGGTTTATTTGCACAGAAAACATTAGAGGTTACTGACGAGGTTCTTGCAACATACAAAAATCAAGGTAAGTTAGTCCATATAAATCCTGACGTAGACGTTAAATATTTAATACTTAACTTGTGCTGATTAGGTTTTATGTTGTTAAGGTGGTTATGATTTGTTGGGACGGACACAAGATCAAATCAGAACGACTGAACAAGTCAATGCAGCACTTAATGCATGCACAACATTGAAGCTTGATGCTCTTGTAATTATTGGAGGTATACTTTTTGATTTTCAGGCACAGAAAAAAGCTAGCATGTAAAAATTAATACAGTATCTTGATTCCTGTGTTTTGTTTATGAAGGGGTGACATCAAACACAGATGCTGCCCAGCTTTCAGAGACTTTTGCAGAAAGAAAGTGCCCGACAAAAGTATATTGCATCACCCACTGTATCATCATAATATTGCTTGGTTCTATTTCACTTTATTGTTGGTCACTGAGCCTCCTAGTATAGATTTATATATTTTTATTTAATTTATATCAGGGTCTAGCAACTTTAACCCACTAGAACAATGCTGCCAGACTGCCATTTTCATTTGACTTGTGTTATTATTTTGTGCTGTTGCTGAGCTAAATGTTTGTTAAATTTGAACAGGTTGTTGGCATTCCTGTTACTTTAAATGGAGATCTTAAAAATCAATTTGTTGAGGCAAATGTGGGGTTTGATACAATTTGTAAGGTAATAGACTTCAGTTACGGTTTCTTGTTTACTTTCTTCCTGCTTTATGTTAGTTGATAGCATTTTCTCCCCCGCTGTCTGGGGGTTGACATGTGATTGAAATGTGAGCCATTATATCTCCACTTAATTATATAGCCCTTTGATTTGATGTTTTTTCATTGATACATGTGTGAGTCTGGTTAACTCTGTAGTTAGTGGATATCTAACTTGATGAAAGTTTGATTCCCATTTTTGATAGTTTATCATCAGATAATATGAAATGAAAGCTCTTGGACAAGAATGAAATGGAGTTAGTTGTTTATTTTCTTATACAATGAAGTGATTTTTCTATGTTGTTTATGTATTGCAGGTTAATTCCCAGTTGATTAGCAATGTCTGCACTGATGCACTCTCGGCAGAGAAGGTAAATATTTCATGTCAATTATTTCTGCTCTTGTTTTCAGGTTGCCTTATGGAGTTTCAATGAGTGTCTTCAGGTGTCTAATAATTTGAATTCTTAAAACACGAAGAGAG